AGGCTTCTCGCTCTGTTTATTAAAAGTCTAAGGCTTCTCATTGATTTTGTTATTCATTCATGCCAAACAGACAGAAGATCATTGTTGATTTTGTTCTTCATTTTTGCGATTCGTTGTTCAGAGACATCCAACAGTTGCTCAGGTACTTTCATTGTTTTTTTGCATTTGTTGGAGGGGAGCAAGAAACAAAACACTAGCTAAAAATCTGCTACAGTATCACACTAATTCTATTCAAACACAACTCAATTCATCAATAACTTCAATATCATATCAAGAAACACAAAGAGAAACTTGTCTATGTTTTTTTAGCAAGAAACATACAAAAAAACAGCCTCCTAAGAGTCTAAGACCAAAAATTGAGTTTCAGTTCCATTGTCAGAACAATCTTCACCGCATGTTTTAAGCCTACAAAACTCTGATTTTTTCCTATTTTCCAGTTCCTTTACTGTCCAGCAACTCTCTGATTTTTCTCCCAAAAATCTCTATTTTTCTCATGTAAGAATTATTTGAACTCTCTCTCTCCTACCTGTCTTTCCTGCTGGATTTTTTTTGGGTAAACATAACACATATTGGGCACACACCCAATTTTGATTTCAACTTCGATATGACAATTGTGTTCTTTATGTTTTTTGTAGTTTGTTTTGTGAGGCTGTGCTGACTTGGGGTCGAGTTCTTTGTCTAGCTAGGGCTGTTCTGAAATTTTGTGCAGGCGCAGGCGTCACACAGAACACACACATGCATAGGTGCACTCTGTTTCTTTTGTATTTGGATTTTGCTACACTCTAAGCTACTTTTGCCTACCACCCATTTGTTCTTCTGGTCATTAGAATTTTCTCAATTTCGATAACAAGTTTGACTTAAACTATTTTTAGTTTGTTACATGTAATATAAGATTCTACAGTTTTGATTTTGACTTTGATTTTTACTTTAATGCTGATTTTTTTTGGATGTATTGCGATTGAGTTATCTGTAGTTGTTGATTTTTTTTGGCTATGAACTCTGATTCTAGGTATTTCTTATATACAACTTTAAGTATGTTTTGAGTGGTAGCACTGTTGCAGAGTGGTACTGGTGTTTTAAAAGTAGTGATAGCATTTGGATAACGTATAAGCTTAGGAGCAGAGGTGATAGCTTTTGGAGGGGTATGTCGCAACATCTCACTACTTTATAAGACTTCTTTGACTAAAATTATGGAAGCAATTACACATCTTCCGCTTTTCTAGATTGATTGTTTCAATATTCTATAGATTCAAACTCTTTAATTTGGTGATTTCTCAAGTCCCAAGATAAAACAATGAAACAAGAAATCCATTTTGCTGTCCAAATAATATTTGACTGGTTGTATATTTGTATATGAAGATGTTCTTTCTAACTTTCTTTTAACCTTCTTTTTCTTTTTTATTTTTTTTATTGAGTAACGCATTACTCATTTCATAATATGTAGAAAATAAAAATACTTGGTCATTTGGTATAGTTAGTATATTGTAAGGACTTAATTTTGTGTCAAATCATCTATTTGTTTTTTATTTATTGTCACTGATAATTTTTCTGTTATACAAAGCCTTTACGTACAGGTAATTGTTTGCGATTTTTTGTTTGTTAAGTAGTGCCTTCAGGCACGGACAATGACTAGTATATACATACGGTTTAAATCAAAAAGAAGTTTGTTGATTGATAATTCATTTTTATTATGGTATCATATGGAACTATTATTTGTGACCATAATTTATTTATAGACATAAGGGTATATTATAAACAAGGAAAAAAGTGGACAATAATATTGTCACAAATGAATTTTATGATGGCATGAACTAATTTTTGAGTTTTATGCTCAAAATTATTTTTTTCAATGGCATTGCATAAAAATTAAATTTAATAGGTTCTTTATAAATAAAAATTTATCATTAACAATGACTGTTGAATAACTTCATTAAATTAAATTTTTTCCTATGTCATTGTTGACCCCCCCCCCTTCCCCACAAAATAAATTTCTGGTTCAATATCTGTGAATGACCTTCTCTCCTTCTAGTGTAACAGTGTGAATGATACCAAAAAAAATTTAAGTTGTTAAGATAGGTTTTGTGTGTGTATTGATTAAAAATTGAAGAAAAGGTAAACGATAGGTGAAACTTTATGGGTACAATTCTGCAAATTTGTAAAATTTAGAGTGGTACTCGTTTCTCCCTACAAGGTAAATATATATTAGGGATGGATGATTAAAAGTTTGCGTAGTTTTAAAATATTTATCATAATTAAAATATAAGTATAGTTGAAATATTTACTATGTTTAACATGTCAACATTGTAATATAAATAGATAGAATAATCGTGATTAAAACATTAAAATGTAAGACTATTAGATTAATTGTCGGATCTAAACAATCTAAACTACTCTTGTGTTCATGAACATTGAAATTTTGCTTTAATTACTATTTTTGTTAAGATTTCTTTGAAATATATATTTAATAATTTAACCGAATGAGATAAATGGGATGAACTTAGTCATTAATGAGGTGAGTATAGATGAGGTGAGTTTAGTAGTTTGAAGTAAGAGAATTAATGGGGTAAAAAAAGAGATTTAAAGGGTAGGAATAGCCCTACCCTAAAATTTTTTGGCATTATATAAATCTGCACATCTTGAATTTGAGCTACCTAATAATATGTAATTTGGGTTTAATAGATGCGTTTGGTTATGGGTGATTGTACATATCGAAGATTAAGATTTACGTTTTAATCAATCCAAAGAGAACGTGATTAGAATATCTGATAATAATGTAAGATGTTAAACAGGTGGAACAAAGAATAACACATCAAATGTTATCAGGCACTACTGACAATGGGTAGTAATAATAATAAAAGTTAAAATGTAAATATTCCCCTCAACACCTGATAAACTTACATATTTAGTATACAAAGAGTCTGGTGGTAATTTCCTAACCCTGACTCGCAAATTTAATCGCAACGTGGAAACTAACCCAACCTAATTGCGACCTTAGATTCAATAGGCACACAAAACATGTAAGACCTTATTCTAGCATGATGCTTAACCTTAATGTGTTGGTACACTTACATACACACCCAGGTAGTATAGGCAACAAACTCCATAGTACAGATTCAGTGGCAAGTGTTTTCAGGTAAAAGTCCCCTGCCATTGTCAGTTAAGTTTGGTTTTATTTATAAGAGTTCAGATCAGCATGAGTCTCCTTGTATCGCTCCAGCATGTACGTTTCACTTGTAATTGGAGGATACCTGGCAAAGGAAAAACAGCCTCAGCATCTACAGGGTGGGACCATTTTTGTGTGCGTGTGGGGGTTGGGGGCTCTTAAGTAGAGCCGAGTTTCATGAGCTCGAACTGAGTTTGTTGAGCTTATTTTTCTAAACAAGTTTAAAAAATTGTTCAAGCTCGACTCATTTTGCTGAGCTCAAGTAACTAGATTATTTTACATATAAACGAGTTGAATTTTGTTTAAGTCAAACATTTTAGGTTCTTTTTTCTAAACAAATTTAAACAATTGTTCAAACTCGATTCAATTTTTAACTCTACTCTTAAATGTGGGCAATGGTCCCATAATACCTTGACCTGCCAATCAACACACACAGGTGAGCCGTAGGTTGGGTCAATCACAGATCACTGGCCCGGACAGCTACGCCCTAGAAAAATACAGTCGCAGCCAACCCGACGTTTTATTTCATCTTTTTTGATTCTATTTTTCAAATTCAGCATTTGTTTTGAACTCCATCAAGCTAATAGGTCTGTTATTCGTTCCTTAATTGGCCCAACCTGTTAAGTCTAGCGAGCCAATACCCACGACTTATGGCCCAATCTTATGGCGAGCCAGGCTTATGGGCCATCCCATGGTCCAAGGGCTATTGGTCGAGCCTCAAGTACTCTTGCGCAATTGCTATACTCATCAATCACAATAGGTGATAATCTTGATGAACCACTTTATGTGCCCTAAGATCCCTAATTGGATCAACCAGAGGTTTAGTTAAACCTCTAAGTGGTAAGATTGTGTTCGTAGTGTTGTTGCCTTGTACTTACTTGGGAGGGTTCTCCGGTGACTGGCATGTTGGCAAGCATTCAACAAGGCAATCGTGATTAGGCTCCACAAAGAATGCAATCTGCACCCAGAGAGAATATACAAAACATTTACCATCTTTTTTGGTTCATATACAGATATCTAGAATGAGAAATATCTAGAAGCAAGACATAACAAGAAGTGGCATGGAAAAAAGACGTAGAATCAATGGATATGCTTTAGGAAAGCAGTAAACTTAACACGAACATTTATAATCTTCAATTCTCCGTAAATGTTGAGCTTATGTGCTCCCACTTGAAAGCTAAAAAAGTTGCCTAACATTATAAAGATGTTTTCAATTTGAATTCCAACATGCAAAAACCTCCTTTTATAAAAGGATTCTACTGTTTCAAAATTGAATTTATGTCATTAACACTTGAAAACTTAAATAATTGTTTTCCACAATCTAACTATAATTTTCAATAGCAAAACCTCAAACAACCTTGAGATAACTATAATTTTTAATAACCTTGTAAATTTTGGACAGTAGAAGTAATGTCAAATAGATATAAATAATAAACTATCCAAAAAATTAGCTGAAGCACTTTGTATAACACACACATTTAATTGTTGTGAATGTTTTCTAGTCACTTCAAACCTAGAACATGTTGAGGAACCACTTAAACATTGCAGCACTTGTAACTCGGTTCTGCTTCCACTTATAGTATGATGATAGAATGGATAAAGTGATAAACTAATCAGCACTGTCAAAACATTTAACTCAAAACGAATCGACTATGGGTAAATACTCCCACAAGATTAGTCTGGAAAGCTTTACCCTACCCGGGTAGCCCAGTTACAACACCCCAGCTATAAATAGAGAGACCTAATAAGGTAATAGTTTGGAAGGGGTGACACCACCAACATGTTTCAAGTTTGAACAGCACAGTTAGAAATGGGGTTGCAAATGGGGCCTAAATATTAATACAGAGTACCAGAGACCAAAGTGTAATCAATCCGTCATACATGTATAGCTTAAAAGGGAGAGAACATCTAATAACAATCATTATAGTATGTTAGAAACACATTTAAAAGCTTAGAAGGGACTTACAGAATATCTCTCTTGACCATTCCCCAAAACTCGATGCAATGTCGACCTGGATAGAATTAACAAAAGGTCACACTTCCATGAAATTGGTATGTCCTCCAGTTCGTAAGATATAGTAAAATAACTCTAAGAGCATGCAAATAACCGTGAGAACAAAACCCGCAATGACGGTAGTTTAGCAATTCAACAATACACAATTGTTGAATAAGACATTTCATCAAAAGATTGATAACTTGTGCCAGTTTCACCATGAATCATGTCCAAGTCAAAAGGTAGACAACTAGACATTATAGTCAAACTTTGAAACTTAAAACTAAAAGTGGGAACTAGTTAAGTAATATTCAAATTTAGGCAAGAATTGATATCAAACATCTCCAACTTGCCTATGGCACTGGATGCCAGCAGGATAACAACTGCTAATGAAAATGCACCTTACCTGAACATAGAGTTACTCCAGCGCTCCAGCATATCACCGAGATTTACAATAAATGCTCTGGAAGTCGAATATCAATCACTAAGGAAGTAAGATTACAATAAACTAAAGAGGAAATTTATCAACAACAACAATGATGGTAAGCTATTGTTCAGGACACCACAAGGATAAAGTCATTGCGACATATGTTCCGCATGCATAATATTGGAGTAAAGTCCAACTTGGATCACTACGGCATGAGGATATTCTAATATATATAGGATGAACTCAGTACCAGTAAGTTAAGTTTAAGCTTTGGAAGTTGGCTCAATATGGACAACCCTTGATATCACTTGTCGGGAAGATGAAGAGTCCACAATGGAAGAGCCCAACATGCTTTTGATTCCACTTGTTGGCAAGATGGGATCCACCATACGTGTTTGAGCCAACTTGACCACCCAAAAGCTCAATCGCATAGGTAGTGAGCCCGTCAATATAAAACAAATTCATATTTACCCTAGTATTTGCCCAATGTGGGATAACTGGGCCACAATAAATTACCAGCAAGATGCATGAATTACATATTGATGGGCAAACACAACTTCGATAGATTGTGTATAACTCATCTTCTTTTCCACAATTAACAATATCAATGCTATACTAACCCACCCTTTTAATGGTGCCACATATTCCCAGATCTGAGGTTTGGCATCCTTATGCTTGCATATCTGAAACAAATTGAAAAGTTACAATCCCTTATCAAAAATTAGAATGAACTTAATGGACTTATAGTGTAATTCAGCTTCATCCTTACTTGGAGACCAGAAACATCATCCGTGGCCAAGAGGGTAATCAAACCAAAATCAGAATGGGCACCGGCTCCATATAATCCCTTTGTGGGATCAGATATTAGACCTAATGACCAATCAATGAATCAACATTTCACAAGTGACATCAATCAACAAAAAAAATTCTGCATGCTCCACAATGGAGTTTGGTAGTTTTTGTTTCAAGTTTAACCTTCATAATGTAGCAGGCGCAAATTGGCAATAGGCTTGCCAAGCATTTCTTGCTGATCAAAAAAGTTTCCCCCAAGGTCAAGTGCAAGGGCTATGAGTCTTGCAATTGCTTTTGCCACCTCACTGAATGCATACATAGAGAGATGAGAAAAAATAATGTGATTAGACAAAAGAACAAAGTCCAAGTTGCCTTTTACATTCAAAACCAAATCAATGCTGCTCATTACACGAAAATGTATGCAGAAGATACTAAGATATGGCCAAAAATCAAGTCATCATATTTGAAACAGAAGTCTAGAGGAACAACACATAAGGATGACTGAAAAGTCCGGCTCTATAATTTCTGAAGAAGTTTTACAGTAGGAAAAGACCCCATGGTCTAATCAGAACAAGGCAAAAACTACAAGAGGTTTCGTCTATAACATGAACTCGGCAGCTAACATTATTCGATCTTTAACCTCAGATGGAAATCTCTTTTGTTTTCCCAAGATTCAAAGTTGTCTAAAAAATAGAAATCTTAGAAAAATGCATCATACGAGAATCCATAAAGAATAGTGAAGCATAACACATTGTAGAATTTTGAGTGAAGTGCAGTTAGATCCATTTTCTGGGACGATCTAGATAAATTTTGGGACACGTAAACAATTGTTATCACAAAGAACAAAGAATATTAGCGGTGGACTTCAGTTAGCTAATAAAAAGAATAGATCCCATTATCAAAGAAGGGTTCCTGAAAGCAGTATAACATACACACACACACACACACATTCATTTGTAAAGGAATCAAATGCCTTCAGAGAATATACATCACAGAAGAATGCATCCTATGAGAACCCCTAAAGAATACTCGATTATCATGATCTTTTGTTTTCCTCATAATGTGATCTTCTCACAACACTTCCTAGTTGATGCAATACTTTAAGATGCCAATAACATATTGATGTCTTCATTAAACAAACATCAATGAAATGTAACTGTTCAAACATTCAAACCATGTCCAGATAGTTAAAGTCCTATTTGAACATGAGTTATTCCCTATGTATTTTTGGTAGTGCATGGAGGAGTACGTATGTCTGTCATATAGAACCTAGAGTTCTATCTGATAAAATAGAGGCCTGACCAACTTACAGTGCTTCTCGATGGTATTTCTCCATAGTTTGCCTCCATCCAGGCAAAATATCTTGCAGACATACAAATAGTTCAAGGAATCAAAAGATTTTACAAAAACCTCAAGCAGAAACAGAGACAGGATACGTGCGCGTGCGAGAGAGAGAGAGAGAGAGAGAGAGAGAGAGAGAGAGATTAAAATGTGCCACGACCAATGAAATTCTTATAGACTATTTAACATAGAAAAAATTGTTCCTTCACAAGAGAAATGAATTGCTTCTAAAAATTACCTGTCGAGGGCCAAACATTTGGCCCGTAAAATGGCTTCTCTATGTCAGAATCATCATCAGGTACTTCAACACCAATATAATATCCCTCCTTGTAATCTCCTGAATCCATAAAATAGGACAATCACTTTTTTGCCTAAGTATCGCATATAATGTTGACAAACCACAAATGACATATAAGCAACCAATTGAAAGAAAAAGAGGAGCAAAACAAATGCAGCCAAATCATTGGACAGTGTTTTCATAGTATGAAGGCAATAATATAGTAGGAAGATAAAAAATATATACACACATACTGCATAGACACGTATACTAATACATAAAAGATGCCATTAACAAATGTTGGTCCTGTGATATAGGGCGTTGGGATTGGTGTGGACATAAATTTATCCTTCAGCATTATGTAGACATGCACAAGTAGGTGTCCTTACATGCAAGCAAATTACAGTACGTCAAAGACCAGGTCAACCAGATCATTCTAGTTTATCCGTAACACTTGAATATCATTCGCAGCCATACCTACTCTTTTGGCCTTCCACTTTATTTGTCGATAGTTATTGAGATGTTTCACGGATTTTCGTCACTGATTGGGACACAAAGGTTTTCCATTATAATTGACGTTCAAATTTTATTGTGAAGGGAAAATAGTGGTATAACCGATATTCGACCCAAGGCCTTTTTTAGTGAGGAAGACTTGTGTCAACCATTATATCATTACTATTGTGTGCATGATATGTGGGTAACATTTGAAGGAATTCTTTTTTGCATAGGTCTTTTTGGCATTCCTCTTATTTAAGAAAATATTCAAAGGTCTTCACTAAAACTTGTATCAAATACAACATTGCATAGATTGTTACATTACGTTATTCATATTGCTATATTGTTGCTTCATTCAATTATACAAAAAAGAACGGCAGCGGACTAACCTTGTACTTGATTGATGGGATCCAAACGTTCATCTAGAACAGGGGTATATCCTCGATGCTTCTTGTTCCTTAGAAGCTTCATTTTTTCCTTTATGGGTAGATCAAAGAACCTTTTGCTTTGGGAAAAAACCTCATCCATGAATTCCTCACTGATTCCATGATTGATAACATAGAAGAAACCAGAATCCAAGCAAGCCTAATGCACAAGTGACGAACTAATATACTTAAGCCCAGAAAATAATATCACTTTAGATGAGATGTAACCAATATATGGGGAGGAGACAAAGCACATAAATTAGCGTCTAGGAGGACAAAGGACACAAATGAGGTATGAATAATTATCCCTCCCAGGTGACAATTCACATGTTGCTTACAGCCAAGGTAGGGCAGGTTGTGTAGATTCAATTCAATTATTGAGTTGATTTTTTTATGGAATGAGCTTTGGGCCAGAGCTTTTGTGCTTCTGCACAAGGTGCTTCTGTAAAATTGGACCAAAATATTGGAAATAAATGACAAAATAGACAAATTGTTACATATTGGCATAAAAAAGAATGGTCCCAGAGGGAAAAAAAAGGTTTTGAAATCTAGATTAATTATACATCCTTCGGCATCATTCAGGCTAGTTGATCTTTAGTTCCATCCAATCATTTTATGTATATTCCTGATTTCCTCAGCTATGTTATCTGACATACAAAATGCAACGGACAAGAATTGCAAATGGAGCAAAAAGACTAAATATCGCTTAGTGCTTTATAAAAATCCTCCGTGAAATTATAGAATCAAAAACAAATATTAAATCAACATTTACTTAACTGATCGCAACTATTTATTTGACAGGTTTAATGAATTCACCAAGAAATAACCAAATTGAATCACGCTTATAATCCATGGCCTGGTAAGAGCAAATATTTTCGTACGTATACATGATTCGCTAATATATATATATATATATATATATATATATATATATATATATATATATATATATATATATATATATATATATATATATATAGAGAGAGAGAGAGGGAGAGAGGGAGAGAGAGAGAGAGACTACCTGTTTGAGTAGAGAAACAGAGTGTTGAATATCAGGACTACAGAGATCGATACAATTCAGAAAAGAATCGGTGGCAGAATCTGGAAGAGATTTGATAGCTTCTTCGTCTGTGTTCATCATTTTCAAGAATCAAATTACAATAGACATCAGGTTATGAAATTCACATAGGAGAAAAACAAAGTTCTCGTTCACTAAAAAGAGCAAGAAATGGTTGTGGCTTCACAATTGACAACCACTTGGAGACGACGTTTGACATGACAACTGACAATCACTTGAGTGGTGTTTGGATAGTGAGTTAAAAAGGTTATCCACTAGTTGCAAGGGATAAAATAGGAGTGGTGTACTATCATTTGATCATATCGTCTTTATACTCTTCTCTTATCTTTTGTTTTCGGTAAGCCCCCTGTATTTAAGTGTTATTACTCGAGGCTATTTAGTTCTTAGAGCAAGAAAAAATTAACTTAATTTGTTGACATACAATTGTGTCGCAATAAAAAAATTTAAGAGTTACAGTCTTACAATAACATTTTTGGACTATGTTAGTAGCACATCATTGAATTTATTAATTAAGTTAATTTTTTATCTCCTATAAATTTTCCTCTTTGGAAAGTTCGTTACATTTTTTTTAATAGGTCGACATTAAATCCCATCAAACATTTGTTACAATTATCTTGTAACTTGATCACGTCATATTTATGTGTATATTTACAAATATTTATTAATAATGATACATTATATATTTAAGTTATAATTAACGATTTAAGTGTCTCTTGAAAATAAGGATTACAAATACAACCTTCGTATAGTAGTGTTTATGGGTCATTTTAATGAGGAGTCACACCTCTTTTAAAGAGGTACATGAAAAGTCATAATTATGAAGTTTCAATGCTTGGCCAAGATGATGAAGTCATTTGCTATTTGATTAATCCTATTATGCTGTTTTTTTTTTGGTCTGATTTTCTAATTTTCATCCGGATTGGGTTCTTGTTCTCAGAATATTAAGAAATACAATATTAGATTGTCTTAAATGCTAGACATTATATTCCATAGTTAAAATTTATCAAGAAAATAGCACCAGATATAAGGGTAAAAAAACATGAAAAATAGGTGAAAAGCTATTGAATATATGTCACACATCTCCATTAAACTATTAAATTGTAGAAAGAGTCGTAGAATTTGAAGAAAGGGAATGATACCAAAAAACATTTAAGTTGTTATGTGTAACGCCCCAAAAACCACCCTGGACGGTATTACCATTTAAAATCATTCATGTTATGAGAACAACTAAATAAATCCATCATTAAAGAACATCTTAATTTAACAAAATTCGAGCAGAGTCTCCTTTGTTCGGGGAGCTCTACCCAAAATACAACCTGTGCAATTATACTATATTGACCACACCGGGTCTATTTATTCATAAATTATTTACAACATTATCCAAAAGAATAAGCCTCAACAATGACTACTACATCAAAAGAATTACATTTGAACTTAGCAGCGGAATAAACAAAATAATAAACTTTACATGATTGTACATAATCGTTCCTAGTCTAGCACAACAATAAACGACATCTCTAGATGTCCCACTCGGGATCCAAGTACCCCTCTAATGAAGCTTCTCCATGGCCCGGCTCGTTAGCACCGAGCTCCTCCTCTGGTCCATAATCTATAAAATATTTAACTGTAGGGGGTGAGTACGAAACTCTGTAGAAAAATCCTCCCAAACTCGAACAAAGTTTTGAAAATAGATAAAAATTGGTCGGTCTCATTTCGTAAATATCATATATCAATTTCTGAAGGAAACATATGACATTTTAAATAGATCTCAAGTTTAAGCCTTAACAATAATCAATTGAAAGGATAAAATAAATTTCACAACAATATACCCTTTTCAACTTTAAGCCATTTAGGAAGGGTGCCTTCCGATGCATTGTCCCATACCAATGCACCGGCAAGACGATCCAACACATCATCCCATGTATATTGGTTCATCCTCTTATCTTCTCATGAATCTACCCAAAGATTATACCTAGTCCACCAATCACAATCACAATTACAAGCACTTTAAGAAAGGGCGTTTACCATCCCAATGACAGTGACAAGTCCCTTCCTAGGAAAAGTATATCATCCCTTGTTTGAACTCCCGTGAATGATAGTGGTCGCATTACCAAATGACAATCCATTACAAGTGTTAGGAAACCATCTCATCCCCACTGGGATAAACTAACCTCTAACACTCTACGGCATCTCTCGATGGCAATCCAAGTCCATTACAACAATCATACAAATGAGAAAACCAAAATATTCTCAATTCAACAACAATTCCAAATAAATATAAAATCCACATTTTCTCATTTTACAAGCATATCTCAAAAATTTTCAAATTTATCATGTAACAATTCCAATAACCATTTAAGAAAAAATACAAGAGATCACAACAACATCATTTATTACTCAACACCAAGCACTGTAGTTTCAAAATCAATAATAAAGGAAGAATTTAAGAAGAAAATTCATCACTCTCCAAAAACTAGTATTTTAAAGCAAGAAAAGAAATTTCATTGATATTCAACCCTAACTTTGCTCAAAACATGTAATTTTGCAAAGAAAGACTAAGAGATGATGATTTCATATCATATATATAACATTTAGAGCTAAAACATACATATATAAATACCCTAACCTCAATGAACAAGAATGGAAGAAAACTCCTACCTCAAAACCCAAGAACCTAAGCTTCACCTTTAAATCTTCAAGTGAATTCAAGAATCCCAAATAATGTTCCTAAGATTTCAAGCAAAAATCCAAGCTCTAATGACCTTCTTCTCTCTTCCTCTAAGGTTTGTGGAGTAGTATTGGGTGAGAGGTGTGAGAAAAATGAGAGAAATGGAGGTGAAAATGGGGTTATAAGGGCTGAAAATCGCATCGGGTACTGTTCACAGATCCAAAAAAATGTATTTTTTTCAAAATTACAATTTTGCCTCAAACTTCTCTGAATTGATCCATATGACTACCCTAAGGTTTTTTTTGACATTCTGGATCCATTTTTAATGTTAGTAGGCTAAAAATATTTATTTTTATGATTTATTTCAAAACTAAAATAAATTTACACTCGAAACATTAAAATTACTATTTTATTCCTCCTTTGTATTTATTCTTATGGTTTCAATATATATGGTTTATTCTTATGTCATTACATATATAAGAATCACTAAAAAAATACAATACTATATTAATATAAACATGTGAGGGTTTACACCTTCCAAGTCTAAGAAGAAAGCACAACACTTTACTATCTAAGGAACATCACAGTGCAGATTTTTTTATCAACTTCGGAGAATAAACTGATTTGACTCGGGTAGTTCTAGTATGTGTGACCTATATGGTTGGAAAGATATACGAGTTAGGGTTCTAACAAAAATAACGGTGCACAATTTGGACTTTCCAACAAAGAGTTATGATCAAATTGGTGAAAGGTAGTCTGTCGGACTGTTTGGTTCTTCTATACTTGTTTGGAGTCTAAATATACTTATTATTCTTATATTTTGATTTAGGATGTAAATAGAGACATTAAATGCAAAACGAAGCTAATTGGACGATTGTTGATAGTTTAAAAATGTGGGGGTTTACATTATGATAGGTTTTGTGTGTGCATTGATTAAAAATTGAAGAAAGGGAAAACGATAGGCGAAACTTTATAGGTACTTTTTTGCAAATTTGTAAAATTTAGAGTGTACTCGTTTCTCCCTACAAGATAAATATATATTAGGGATGGATGATTAAAATTTGGGTATTTTTAAAATATTTATCATAATTAAAATATAAGTATAGTTGAAATATTTACTATGTTTAACTTGTCAACATTATAACATAAATAGATAGAATTATCGTATTAAAAAATCAAAATGTAAAACCATTAAATTAATTGTCACATTTAAACAATTTGAACAACTCTAGTGTTCTTGATATTCAGGAGATTTTCGTTTTATTATATAGATAACTAGGGCACCCTTGTGCAAAACTCACTTTTTTACTATGGTTAAAATATTTACTATGGTTAAAAAATAAGTAGAATTAAAAAAATGCTAAATGTGAATTGATAGGTTTATCATGTTTAAAAAATTCAATCAAATACTCTTTTAAGTCATTAAGTTAAAGACTTGTGTACTTTTTTTGTTTTTGCCCTTGTAGTCCAATCTAAATAATCCTTTTTTTAATTATTAAAATACCCTTTAACTTATGTCATGCTAATTTCTTTCTTTTTCATAAACCTGATCTCTCTCCGTTACCTACAAAAAAAAAATACATGGAATATTCAATTAGATTCAAATTGGAGATAGATAACCATCATAATTTTCATCAAATCAGACGAATGGTCATAGTGTTCAAGTCAACTTACGCGCATCTCGACTAATCTCTCATCTTGTCTAGTCAAGACCATCTACGCCGAGACTAATTCGCAATGAATAACTGGTTCATTGCTTAAGTTCGCAACAGATGATGATGGCAATAAATCCCACACAAACCAGCACCTCTCACCCACAATTCCCAGTCGCCCTATCTCTTTCTCTTCAACACCCTTACTCATTAAACAAATTACTCCATCCAACGAGACAGTATTGCATAAATTTTAGTCTTAGAAATTTTGCTAAGATGCTCAACACTCGACAATCTATCAAGTTCATGCCATTTAGATCAATGTCGTCATTAGTAATATATTGGTGGTCCATGTTTAAGTTACTTTTGTGTCTATTATATATCTCTCTTTTTATTTTGAAATGTTATGCTAATGATTATATGTAGACACCACTGTGTTGGTTTATTATAAAAATCAAAATTCAATGACTTTGGTACAACATGTTTTGGTTTTCATAGGGTTTTGGTGACCGTTTGAGTCTA